ATCCATCCATCCATCCAGCCAGCCATCCATCCATCCATCCATCCATGCATCCACACATGCATGCATCTATCCATCTATCCAATGATGCATCTACCCATCCTTCCATCCTTCCATCTATCTATCCATCCATCCATGCATCCATCCATCCACCCATCCATCCATCTATCCGTCTAGTCAATGATGCATCCATCCATCCTTCTATCCTTCCATCCTTCCATCCTTCCATCCTTCCATCCTTCCATCCTTCCATCCTTCCATCTATCTATTAATCTATCTAACTATCTATCTGTCTGTCCATCTATCTATCTACTTACCTATCTATCTATCTATCTATCTACCTACCTATCTATCTATCTATCTATCTATTTATCTATCTATCTATCTATCTATCTATCCCTGTATCTACACATAGTATGGTTCCAGCAGGGTATCGCCAAAGCAGTATGACGTCATGTAAGTAAATGCGATAGGATGCTACGATACATGCACATACAACAAAACCATACCAAAGGCGCGTTTACCCACGCACACGCAAACACTCTCTACAACGTACAGTGCGCACCTCATACTGAGAAAATGATCCGCTGCCCATTGCAGATTAGAGAAAGCTGTCAGTCAGGGATGTTGGTGCGCAGCTTCTCTTGCTGCGGGCCCGAGGTGGGTAGGACCTCCGCCGGACACAGACGCACACATGGGCATGCAATTGTGGCATTGGGTTTGGGGTAGGGTTTAGGGGGTTTAAAGTGGGTTTTGGGTTGATGTGTTTGAGGTTGCTGACTGTTTCTAACACGTCGAAAAACCCAGCCCGCCGCAAATAGATGGCACCATATAGGAGAACTCGGCCAGGCAAGCAGCTAATCCGTTTGCTCCAGAAGTTTCTGTGTTTCAAAAAGCAGGGAACAACCATGCAGACATGTTTCTCGACACGTCAATACCTCGGCCCAACCTAAGAATCGAGCACTTCAATAGTGCTATCGGATTCCGCAAGCAGTTTCAATGTTTCCTCAACAACTATTGTCTCAAGCCTTTCTGGATCCGTGCAGATGGTCTCAGCATTGGCCTTCTGCGAGAAGACCTCTGCTGTGTTCGCCCTCTCGGCGCATAAGCCGGAGCCCCTTGGGGAAGTGTAGGTGCATTCTGTCGGTTTTCGCTTTCCAGTTTAGACGGCGCATACCTTCGGGAGAACTGTACTGGCGCCTTTGACGTGAAATCCCAGACCCCTTGAGCCGCAAGCGCAAAACGCGTAAGACAGCGTACACCAAGCCCGTTTTAAAGTTCAGAAACGTAAACCCGAAGCCGTGCCGAGTAGGGTTTTTCCAATTTCGCAGACGAGGGGCCCAAGGCTTTCTTTTTCCTAAGCCGGAAAATCACCGCACCGACCTTGGTCGGCAATGATGGGTGTAAAGCCTCAGAAAGCTCATGCACGTCAGGAGCAGAGCTTCCGCAAGATGGATCTGACTGCAGTGCCTTTCTGCAGTCTTCCATGCACCGCTCAGACCCAGAAACCACAGCCCCAAAGGAGCAGGTGGCGGAGAAGATCGGAAGTGGAAGCGAAGAGAAAGCCAACTTGCCAGGTGTTTGGCGACCATGGTTCAAGCGCTGGAAGCAGGGCCGGCGCTATTACAATGCCGACGCGCCATTGGAAGATTTTGGTGTCGCACAGCTGGACATCTTCGTCGCAGTTGACAACGGAACAGCTGCACAAGCTGTCCTAGAAGAGGGGGCACAAGAGAATGAGACCTTCCTTGCCGCTGTCGCAGAGTTGTTTGGTCCAAACCTCAATGGCGTCGTAGAGTTCACGGCGGTCGATGAAAGTCTCCTCGATAACATCATCTTCGGCCGCACGTTGAAGCTTGCTCAGATCAAGCAGGCAAGCAACGTCAAAGCGAAGCGTTTCGAGCAATTGCTCGAGGTCCTTCTCGACTGCGAGCACCCACTATCCACGGGCGAGGCATGGTTGCAGGGGATTGAAAGCAACCTGATCTCATTGGCAGACGGCTTCGCAAACCTCCTTTCAGGCTTTCTTGTTGTCGGCGAGGTCGAGATCTTCGATGCAGATTTTGATGATGAGCTCAACGAAGATGATGAAAACGATGGAGAAGATGTGCCAGCGCCATAGTTCTTGCAAGTGTTTGCAGACAAGCTTGTGAAAGCACAAGCGCTTGTAAATAGTAGGTTTGACTGGCAGATACTGACCAGTCCGAATTATATTTCGGTGCCGCGTCCGAGACTGTTTCAGCAAACTGCGCCGATTGCAAGCTTTGATGAATTTGAGTTGCGACCCTAAACCCTAAACGCATCGGCTGTGCCGAGGCGTGTGAGCATCTGGGACTCCAAGACTTTTGCCTGCCTGCAGAAGTATCCAGCAGAGCTTATGACGCCGGGGACCTCGGAATGCTGTTATAGTTACATCATCGTAATATGCCAGAATACACAAAAAGATACCGTAATATACTCCAGCATGTTCCAAACTTGCTGTAACATGCTCTACTATGCTCTAATATACTCTATAGTTTGATCATCTAAGTATGCTGCAAAAAAACCGTACTGGAATCAGGCCGAAGCCCGAAGCCTTGATTTAAAAAGGCTACGCACCGAGGCGGATGAAGCCCAAGTGCTACCCTGTACCTTAGGGTTTGGGGTTGGCAGTTTCGAGTTCAGGGTTCAGAGTTTAGGGTTTGGGGTTCAGGGTTTGGGGTTTGGGGGTGCAGGGTTTAGGGGTTAGCAGGCCAGCCCTGATACCCAAAAGCCGCAAACCAGAGCCTAAGCCGAGCTTGCCTTCGGCTGGACTCGATAGAAAGGCCTGAATCTTCAAATTCCATCCCCAAGCCAACATGCACAGCTGTTAAAACCCAAGGCTAAGACCTTTTATCCCCAACCCCCTCACCTTCAAAAGCCTGCCAGAGAAGGTGCGGGTCCGATTTGAGTGCCATGGGAGCCTTCGATGTGCGCATGCGGGACTTGAGCTTTGGTCCCTAAACCCTAAACCCTGAGGTTGGGCTTTGGAGCCTGAACAAATATGGGACGGTGGGGACTGTTCAGGGTCTCCGGCGGCGTGTCAATTGCAGATTGCAAGATCCTAGATTTCCGAAGAGAGGTACCCAAGCTCTCCCTCTCGCTCCTGGTCCTGGCTGCACGCGGCCCAAGCTTTCAGTAGGTCTTCGAGCTTATAGAGTTTAGGGCACGTAGGGTTTTGGGTTTGTGAGTGTTTAGTTTAGTGTTTAGGGCCTCGAGACTTTTGAGTAAGGGTTTGGGAGAGTCGGGTTCGGGGGGTTAGCACCTGGATGGTGTTTGAGTGCGTGTTCAGGTCCCGCCTGCTTCTATGCTGCAGCCTATTTTCCATGTCCCAAACCCTAGACATGTATTGTATTGTGGTCAAGCCGGTCAGTGACTGAGGTCCGGAGGCCGAAACCAACCTCAAGAGAGAATCCGTAGGGAAGCTTAATGTTTGGTAACAATTGTCTTGCAGCCCCCGTATAAAGATAATGTACCACAATCAACCCAAAACCCTAGCCTCAGGCCTTTTTCTATTGGATGCTGAGGAAGGCTTGACAATGGTAAACGGTCGAAGTGGATTACTATAATAAGAGCCCTTTACTTATCAGGGTTATCATGTTCATACTTTGCAACAGGGTTCAGCTCAGTCGGCAAGGAGGCTGTGAGCTCCTGGTGACATGGTCTTCATGGTTTTTGTCGTACTAGTACTAGTTATTAGTTCGCATAGGCATTCATACCACTGCTTGGCAATCTAAGCATTTCCAGGGGGTTTTTCCAAGGCTATAGAGTGACATGCTCCATCGACTTCAGAGCTTCTTGCCGCCTCGCTTGATATGGTGCTTCTTGCAGGGGGTCGACGGCTCGCTGTGCCTGCGACGAATCACGCGACGGACGGACAGGACCCCTTTGCTTCATCAGGGGAGGGAGATGGGGCCTATAAGGATCCCTGAAGCCTTAAGCCCTGCCGCCCAAATCCTTACTGAACCTGAACCCTCAAGCCCTGAAGCGAACCCTTAAACCCCAAACCCTACATAAATATACTCTCTCCACTGCGCAGTAAGCTCAACTGCATCCTCCTCTGGTATCGTGGCGATGCCGGCGGAGAGCTGGTCGGTCGCCCCGGATTGCTTTACAGACTTAGACTTAGGGTTTAGGGTTTAGGGTTTTGGAGTTTTGGGGTTAAGGTTTATGTTAGGGTTTGGAGTTTTACGGTTTTAGGGTTTAGGGTTCAGGGTTCACGGTTAAAATGTTTAGGCTGTCTTGCATCCCATTTCTTCGAGCCTACAACCCGGAAACGACCAACATCCAACGAGGTCCTCAGCGCCAAACCCCGGGAAACGTCATCAACTTCGCACGGCTGAATCCTGACGCAAGAAGCCCAGTTTCAATCAACGCCGCGAACAAAGCGAGGCTTCTTAAGCCCGACGAAGTTCTTGAACCCGAAACCCTAAAGATATGCAAACGCTCCAAACCAGGGAAGCAAAAGCAAGCCCTAAACCCTAAACCCTAAAACCCTAAACCCGAAACCCTGAACCCTAAACCCTAAACCCTAAACCCTACACCCTAGACCCTAAACCCACCGAGGGCTGCCCCGTCACGGCGCTCAACTTCCACGAGGACACCGAGATGGTCCTGCTCGGCGACGCAGCGCGCTGCCCGGGTGTGGGGAAGTGTAGGCTAGAGCTGGGCTGGAGGCTGGGTTTAGGGTTTAGGGTTTAGGGTTTAGGTTTAGGGTCCGCTTTGTGGTTTCGGACTTGATCCTGGAAAAAAAAACATAAGCCCTGATCATGGAAAGAGGAACGTTCAAGTACAGGCGTCAACCCTGAAAGGGCTTGTTCTTGGGAGCTTTGGTTGTCTTGGATCTTCCCCGAAAAGTGTATCCCTAAATCCTAAACCGTTATAAGTTATACCCTAAACTACCAAAACCCCCAGTCCTAGAGCCCCTACGTGTGGCAGCCGTAGTACTAAATCCTCGAGCCCTGCACTTCAAGAGCCCTCTGAAACCTTGATGAACCCCTTTCAAAAGAACGCTGTAGAACCCTACTGCAAAACCCTATAAGACTATAAGCAAAACCCTGTAGAAGGCCCCCCAAGGAACCTTCAGCCGCTCGTCCCGCCCTGCCCTTCGGGCACCGAGCGCATTACGCCCGGGCCGGGGAAAGCCCTCAGGGCTGCCGCGTCCAGCTCCAGAACATCCGCGAGCATGTTGCCTCGGCTGCGGAGCCGCCCTGCTTTTGATAATGGAGTTCTACTAAGGGTATGAGGGGTCTCTATATCGAGGGTTCTACAATCTAGAAGGGTTGCACGACCTCGCGGTTTCAATAAGGTTGCAGTGATGTTTCTACAAGGGTTTCAGCACGAGTCCTGTGGGGTTCCGATAGGGGTATCTTATGAAACTTCCCTCATGAACCCGCGAGGCCAAAACCTATGAATCCCAAACTCGTCTGAAGCCCAAGACCTCACCTCAAGCCTTAAACCCTCCGTGCTCCGGTATCCTAACGTCTACTATAGGAGTCGCTGACTAGCCATCAAGTTTTATACGCCGCATATGCTTACTTGCAGTCGAGACGCCTCTACCTGAGCACCTGTGCAAATCAGAGAGGGCAACACCCTATAAATCCTAAACCCTAAACCCCCCCCCGAAACACTATAATGCCCTGAACCTAAACCCCGAACCCCAAAGCCTATAGTCCCTTAAACCCTAAACCCTCCGATACCCCAAATCCTAAACTCTAAACCCTATAACATCCCAAACCCTAAACTCTATAATCCTAAAACCCCAAGCCCTAAACTCTATCGTGGAACTTCCTCCTCGACTTCGCACCACGAGCAAACCCACGCATGACTCTACCGGGGCGAAGACCGGGCGGACAGATGGACCTCGACGACATCTTCCGGGACGCTGACATCGATGGCCGGGGGCGAGATCGCACACCGCGAACAGCATATCCTCGTGCAACACACTCGGACGCCCTACTATGTGAAGATCCCTTCGGGGTCGGATCGCATGCCACCTGGGAGAAGAAGTGAGAGAAGCTGTGAACTCTATAAATCCTAAAGCCCCGAACCTTAAATTCTATAAATCCTAACAACCCCCAAACCCTAAACTATATAAATCCTAAAGCCCCAAACCCTAAACTCTATAAATCCTGAAGCCCCAGACCCTAAACTCATAACTCCCAAAGCCCCAAATCATGAGCTCTATAAAAAAATCCTAGAGCCCCAAACCCAAAAACTTTATAAATCCTAAAGCCCCAAACCCTAAACTCTATAAATCCTAAAGCCCCAATCCCTAAACTCTACAAATCCCAAAGCCCCAAACCCTAAACTCTATGAATCCTAAAGCCCCAAACGCAAAACTGTATAATATTAAAGCCCAAGTTATAAACTCTATAAATCCTAATCCCCCAAACCCTAAACTCTATACATCCTTCAGCCCCAAACCCCAAACTCCATAAATTCTGAAGCGCCAAGCCCTCAACTCTATAAACCCTAAAGCCCCAAACCCTAAACTCTATAAATTTTGAAGCCCCAAACCCTAAACTCTATAAAACTCTTTAAATCCTAAAGCCCCAAGTCCATAAACATATAAATACTAAAGCCTCAAGCCCTAAACTCTATAAATCCTAAATCCCCAAACCCTAAACTCTGTAAATCCTAAAGCCCCAAACTCTAAACTTTACAAATCCTAAAGCCCCAAACCCTCAACTCTATGAATCCTAAAGCCCCAAACGCTAAACTGTATAATATTAAAGCCCAAGTTTTAACTCTATAAATCCTAATCCCTCAAACCCTAAACTCTATACATCCTTCAGCCCCAAACCCCAAACTCCATAAATTCTGAAGCGCCAAGCCCTCAACTCTATAAACCCTAAAGCCCCAAACCCTAAACTCTAAAAATCCTGAAGCCCGAAACCCTAAACTCTATAAATCCTAAAGCCCCAAACCCTAAACTCTATAATATTATAAACTCTACAAATTCTAAAGCCCCAGACCCTAAACTCTATAAACCCTAGAGCCCCAAACCCTAAACTCCACAAATCCTAAAGCCCCAGACCCTAAACTCTATAATAATAAAGCCCAAGTTATAAACTCTATAAATTTTAAAGCCCAAACCCTAAACTCTATACATCCTAAAGCCCCAAACCCCTAAACTTACCAATTTCCTAAAGCCTCAGCCCTAAACTCTATAAATCCCAAAACCCCCTAATTTCTATACATCTTAAAGCCCCTAGCCCTAAACTCTATAAATCCTAAAGCCCCAAACCCTAAACTCTGACGCTCCAAGCACTAAACTCCGTAAATCCTAAAACCCCAAACCCTGACCCCTTTTGGCCGCCAGGCCGAGCTTATGCAGCCTGGCCTGGCGAAGCGCGTCGCCGGGCCGGAGGTCAGGGTTTAGGGTTTGGTTTTAAGGGTTTGGGGCTGGGGTTTAGGGTTTAGGGGTTGGGGTGAGGGTTTAGGGCCGGTTTGGGGTTTAGGGTTTAGGGCTTGGGTTTAGGGTTTAGGGCTTGGGGTGAGGGTTTAGGGTTTGGGGTTTAGGGTTCAGGGCTTTCGGTTTAGGGTTTAGGGTTTAGGGCTTGGGTTTGGGTTTAGGGTTTGGGGTTCAGGGTTTAGGGCTGGGGTTTAGGGTTTAGGGCTTGGGGTGAGGGCTTGCGGTTTAGGGTTTAGGGCTTGGGTTTGGGTTTAGGGTTTGGGGTTAAGGGTTTAGGGCTGGGTTTTAGGGTT